TACAAGTAACTCTCTTTTCCTGCTGTAAGCCTAATTGTACTTTTTAAATAATCAATGAGGCAAGAATTTCTGGACACCAAGAGTTTCACAGAAGAAAACAAGATGATTATGCTATATCTTTATTCTATGCAAAACATTACAATCTTCATAGTACAAAGCACTAAGGTGGTTTGATCTGGGTTCTGTAGGTCCTACACCTATGATACGTCTTTTCCTTCCTTCTTCTTTAATCTCTCTCTTTGGTGGTGTAACATCCAGTCATAACCCAGCACCTCTTTCAGTAGCCTGCCTTCCTACGAAGGCTCTTTCTGTTCTTTCATTAGCAACATTAAACAGCCAGCTGGTAGACTTTAAGAGTATCATTTTTCCCAGAAACTTTGCAAGGATGCATGTTCCATTTTTGCAATAATATAAAATATACCTTGTGCCCCACAAATACTATTGGCATTTTTATTGATATTGTGAGCTTTATAATTTAGGGAGAATTGCCATAGTTTATGTTGGGTTATGCAATATCGGTTCCTTGATATCTGGGATTTTCTCTGTTTGGTTGAGTTCTGTATCTCCAAAGCCTAGAACAGTGCCTGGTACATAGTAAGTGCTCAGTTTTTACTGAGTGAATGAATGAATGAATGGGATGCCTTTTCTTTTGTTCTGGTCTTATATTCCCTAAGAAGTGTTTTAAAGTTTTCTTCACAAAGATCATGTATATTTTTCATTAATTTTTTTTTCTTAGGGATTTTAGTTTTTTGGCTATTGTAAATGCAGTTTTTTCTTTTACAAGAACATTAACTAGTTGATGTTTGTTTATAAAAAGGCTATGGTTTTCTGCATGTTAATTTTTAACCACCTATGTTATTGAATTTTCTTATTCATTTGCAAGAATTTTTCATACTTGTCTTGTTTTTGCCAGGTATCAGTGTTACTTCTCTTAAAACTTTCCAGAGTTTAAAGAGGATTGAATTACAAGCCCAAAGAAAAACAACAAACAACTAAATTTCATTCTAGCAGTGAGATTCTTATTGGTTGAGTGTGTACTGGTACAGATGTGAACCTGTAATTTATTTTCTAAGATAGTTAAACATGGTGATTAAGGAAAACGTCAAATCCACCACCGGCTCATTCCTTGCCAATTGGGCATCATCTGTTCCCTGAGCTGCTTGTTAATATGCAGAGACTGCCGTCTTTACTACAGAGTCCTCTTAATTTGGGGAGGGACATTTGCAATTTAAATCACAAAGAAAGAAATTGTCAGTATATACTGAGGTGTTTCACTGCGAGCTTTGTTCAGTAAACCTTACTATACAAGAGAACTCATGCAAATGAATGCATCTGTCTTCATTTCTCCTCACCATTAGATCATTATGCAAACATTAAACACCAAAAAAGACATAAAATGATTGATTAGTGTAGTGGAGCGCGCAGGTTAGCAGAAAGCCAACTCAAGAAGCCTGTTTCTCCCTCCCCACACTGCTGCTTTTCTCCTCTCCCTTTTCGGAAACACCCACAAATGATTTAGTCAGTCCTGCAGGGTCTGGAGATATTTATTGGCAGTCAGCATTCCTGTGATTCAGCACATTTTCTTGTGACAATATTCTATCCTTACTCCTGAGTTTTGCCTAATTTAGATTCCCCCTTTGGTCTGTCCTACTCTGCTAATCCTGATCAATAAATACAGGCAGATTAGACAGAAGACAAAATTGTGAAATTGATGTTTTATTTGGAACAGCAAGTCCTCATTTCACACTGTGGCCAGGACCATCTCCTCTGCGGCCCACCTCCCCCGCAACCTACGCTATGGCATGGTGCTCTCTGACTCATTTGCCTCTGTTGACTAAGCTTTAAACATCTCTGACTTTTTCCATCTTTGAGTTTCATTGTCTGGTTCACAGTAAGCACTCAGTAAGTGCTAGAATCAGTGAATACACAAATTACTCAGTTAAGTGATACAGTACATTAATGTTTTCTTTTGTGTTATTAGAACTAACTATTGGGGAGAGGTATGAAATCTTTTTAAACAAGAGGATAATTGACTATTACTAGTTTTAAAAGTAACCCACATGGATTTGTATTTTTAACAGAGACCAAATTAAACTCATTGAATTTAGCTTTTCTAGATTCTCAGATTCAGCCAGAGGTCTGGGAAGGACCGAGATTCCTTCTGGAGAAAATTGCATTGTCCACATCTTATAAGGCTGCATCTATGGGGCTTCCCTGGTAGTTCAGTTGGTAAAGAATCTGCCTGCAATGCAAGAGACCCCGGTTCAATTCCTGGGTTGGGAAGATCCCCTGGGGAAGGTCCGTGGAGTAGCAAAGAGTGGGACACGACTGAGCGACTTTCACTTTCTCTTCATGTCCTATATCCCATGTTGTTGAAAACCTGAGTAGGAATGAAGTTCTTATTAATTGAAACTTAATTCTCACTTGCTTGTTACTGTTTTAAGAGTTGCTTTTTTATGTATTTCTAGTTGACCTTTAAGACATACCCTTAAAAACCAACGCTCCCAACTCCTCAAGTACAGCTCTGTAACGAACTGCTTAACCAAAGGGAATCAATCTACATAAAGAAAATGCAAACAATTCTTTCATTGGGCAGAGTTGTTGAACACATTATGTTTCTGTAATGTGAATTGCCGTCATCTAGTATGTAATTTTCATTCCTTTATTATTAACCTTATTTTTCCCTAGCCTTTTGCCAAGAAGGACTTATAGGGGTTGCTTGTTAAGTTGACCTCTTCAGCTGTCAGTTGTGCCTGTGTATTTCTTTATGGGGTGTAGGGAGGGTTGCTTTGTTCTGTGTTGAGGGGGCATGTGAATTGCACACTGTCATGGCCTTTTGTTACAAATGCACCTGGTCGATGATGTAAAAAGCCCTGTGCTTTTATATACTTGACAAGAATTTTACTTCTTGTTCAGTCACTAAGTCATGTCCAACTCTTTGCCATCCTATGAACTGCAGCACGCCCAACTTCCCTCTCCTTTACCATCTCCCAGAGTTTGCTCAAACTCATGTCCATTGCATTGGTGATGCATTCCAACCATTGCATCGTCTGTCACCCCACTTCTCCTCTTGCTCTGCTCAGCATCAGGGTCTTTTCCAGTGAGTCTGCTGTTTGCATCAGGTGGCCAAAGTATTGGAGTTTCAGCTTCAGCATCAGTCCTTCCAGTGAATATTCAGCGTTGATTTCCTTTAGGATTGACTGGTTTGATCTCCTGCTGTCCAAGAAACTCTCAAGAATCTTCTCCAGCACCACAATTCAAAAGTATCAATTCTTTAGCACTCAGAGAATTTTACTTCTTGAATTTCAATCATTATTTGATCTCTCATTCAAAATGTAGTAAATGAAGCTCACGTCACTCACACTCACAGGCTCTTCCTTGGGTTCTGTTTTAAATCAACAACAACTCAGGTATGCAGTGTCCTGACACTGCCATGAAAAGAGAAATATGCAAGGCTGTCAAGGTCACAGGACCTGGCAATCCCAAGCCTGGACTGACACTAATACATCGAAATCAGTGGCCTGTTCCTGTCTTCTTTCCCCAGGTACTCTATTCTCACTAGACAAAATGAGAAATTCTTTCTTTCCCTAACACGATTTGACTTTTTTATTTTATTGGCTAATTGGATAGTAGACCAGCAGCAATAATTCAAAAACCTTTATGATATGCATTCATAAAATTTTGAAATGATAATTAGCACTGCCATATGTAATTAAGAAAAGGGCAGAGGTATGCAAATAATCTTTTCGCTTTTTTGACTTTGAAAAGGGAAGTCTATTCTTGCATTTTAACATGAGAATCTCTGATGTCCTAGGAGTTCATAACCCCTGAAATTCATAACCTGATTCAGGAAGAGTTGGAAAACTGCTGAGTTTCCCCATTCCTCCCCAGAGAATGGATGCAGAGTTGGGGATAACAAACAGAATTTTCAAACAATCCTTGTCATAGTTAACCTCTGGATGGGTAAATGTTGAGGCATTTCTATTTCTGAAAGCAAGGATAGTCAAGTTTTCTTTCTGTGGTGCCTTAAATCAGAAGATTTGGGTTCTCTCTTGGTGTTTGGGGCTTCCTTGGTAGCACAGTGGTAAAGAATCCACCTGCCCGTGCAGGAGATGCAAGAGACGCAGGTTCAATCCCTGGGTCAGGAAGATCCCCTGGAGTAGGAAATTGCAACCCGCTCTAGTATTCTTAACCTAGGAAATCCCATGGATGTAGGAGCCTGGTGGGGCGGCAGTCCCTAGGATCACAAAGAGTCGGACCGACTGAGCATGCACGCATACTTGGTGTGTAGATATGACCCCCACAAGGTTGGTAAGATTGAAAAATTTCAGAAGGAGAGAATGAAAATTAACAGAATTCCCTGGGGATTCTGAGGCCCAACCCTGCCTTAATATAGTGTGACACATTTTGTAAGAAATTATGTAAGTTGTAACATGACACTATTTTACTTTGTTTTCTGAAAGACCAAAATAAAAACTAGAGTCAATAATATTTCTCTTGAACTTGTAGAAAGCTCTTCTCTAGTGTCATTCATCTTCCTCAGCTAAAAGGTATCGCAAACTTGGAGTCTGCTGCTGCACCGTCTGCTCCTGCATTATTATTTAAAATTTCATTTCAGCCCCTTTACCTTATGATTCTCAATTGCTCCCTTTAAGGAGAAACATGAGAGAAAGTCACTTCAGAAAGACAGAAAACAGGAAACAAAGGGCGAATATTATCCTTGTACATAAGCCATGTCAGACTATTTATTGTGAATCTAGAATGAAGTACCCCCACTGGTACCCATTTTAATAACCTTTAGTGGAATAGCTGCTCCGCTTTATCTGCACGCTCATCTTTATGAGACACTCTGCAAATTGCAATGGAAAAGAAGCCGCAGAACTTTTCCCACCAGAGAAAAATACAGAACATTTATGGGGAGGAATCACCTCACCACCCACAAAGACAACCCCTTATGCTTCTGCTATCATTTACTAAAGCAGATTCTTTTCTTTTAACAGAGGAATTCAAGGGCTCCACTGTGGTTGAACTGATGAAGAAGGAAGGCACTACCCTTGGGCTGACGGTCTCGGGCGGAATTGACAAGGATGGCAAACCCAGAGTGTCTAATCTGCGGCAAGGAGGAATCGCTGCTAGGTAACTGCATCGCAGGGAAACGTAGAAAAAGGAATGAAGGTGTAATTAATTCAGAACTTAAAGCTCCATCAGAAAAGGTCACTAATAGATAAATGACACTGCCATCTGCCAGGTGGGAGCATGGGGGGTGGGGAGGAGGCAGATTTCAGAAGGATGGCTTTTCTGGCCCATGCCGAAGTCACCAGGGAGCTCTTGTGTCATCTCAAGAGCAGTCAAGTCCTCCTAAGATTTTAATTTTAAAATGCTGTGTCTGGACTTCTCTGGCAGCACAGTGGTGAAGACTTCACCTTCCGATGCAGAGGGTGCAGGTTTGATCTCTGCTCGAGGAGCTAAGATCCCACATGTCTTGTGGCCAGAAAACCAAAGCACAAAACAAAAGCAACATTGTAATAAATTCAATAAAGATTTTTTAAATGGGCCACATCCAAAAAAAAATCTTTAAAAAAAAACAGCCACCTGTATGGATTTAGTCCTCAAATGTGCCCCTAATGGGCTGCAGTGGGAGTGAGACAGCCCCATCATCTAACGGGGAATAGGTGACCCATATTCTGTGGACAGGGGAAGCTGCCACGTGACGAGCCCAGGCAATGAGGGAGGCCCAGCTCCAAGTATCTCAGTAGCAATTTTACTTGTCCTACATATTCTCAGCTTTTCTACTTGTGAGATTTTCCTTTCATCAGTACAAAGAGATGGTTTCCAAAAGGGCAGAAGGCTTAGCTGAGAAGGGCTGGTTTTGTCCTTGTTCTTACTGGACTGCAGATTGTATTAGTTCTTGCTGATGACAGGGTATCCTGGGTGCTGGACAGGAGTGGGTTTGCTTTGTAGACAAATTCGAAATCTACTGCAGAAAGAAAGGGTGGAATGGTGAGGTTTCATTCAAAGTGAGGTTAATGTCTCTTAAATCCTGGACACCGGTATTCATGTCCACAGAGTCCCAAATTAGGTTTTAGAGTTCTTACCTTAGTAAGTACCACCTGAAATAGTGGTTATTTTCAATGATCAACCTATTTGTACAATTTATAAGCTCAAGCCAATTGATTGCTCCATGATCTGCAGTACTGTTTGTAAAACCAGGCTGATGTCAACACAAGCAACTTAGTCTCCTTCCTTTAGGATTTGTGGGGTTTTTTGTTTGTTTTGTTTTGGATTTTTTAAAAAATTGAAGTATAGTTAATTTTAAATGTGTTAATTTCTGCTGTACATCAAAATGATTCAGTTATGCATATTAATATATATACAGGGCTTCCCAGGTGGCACAGTGGTAAAGAATCTGCCTGCCAGTGCAGGAGTCACAAGAGATATGAGTTCAATCCCTGAGTTGGGAAGATCCCCTAGAGAAGGAAATGGCAACCTGCTCCAGTATTCTTACCTGGAAATTTTCATGGACAGAGGAATCTGGTGGGCTACAGTCCATGGGCTCACAAAGAGTCAGATGTGACTGACCACACAGACGCATACACGCAATAATATATGTATTATCTTCATGTTCTTTTCCAATATGGTTTTTAAGAGATTTCTTTCCACCATAGCCTCCTTTAATTTTTAACAGTCATAGCCAAGTCGTGATGCTGGCACTTCATGTGTCTCCAAGGTTTCTTCATATGTAGCCCCTAAAGCAAGCATAACTGGCGTGGGAGAGGGTGAGAATGTCGTTCACACATGTATTGATCCTATAATTAAATTAACACTCTGCCAGTTATAATGAGTGTTATTGATCACCAAATATTTATTGTTTAAGCCACTACCATGTCACAGATAGTAAACCAAAATAAGTCAAGATAAGATACCTGCCCTTTGGGGGGTCATAATCTATTAAGGGAAATAGGTAAAAAAAACATGAGAAGTTTGGGAGCAATAATCGCATTGTGTCATAGTAAAAAGCAACAACATAAGAGTTGTCACAGTGCATGAGCCAGTTAAGTTGCCAGATAAGTGTCAGTCAGTAAACCTGGGTTAAGAGTGACCACGTGTACTGTAGACTTGAGAGTATTATGGAGGTTCCGAAGAGAGAGTGATTGGAGCTGGGCTAATGTAAAACAAATGATTTCATTATTTTTATTTGGGGGAAACATATTATTGAATTAAGTCCTGTCATTGGTCTTGCTGCCTGCTCTTGGTTTAGAAATAGAGTTTGACTAAACGCCCCGAAGTAGCCACAGTTCTATTATGATGGTGAGGAGAGAGGAGTATGTTACTGAATCCCCACGCTTTCATTATAATTTCTTCTTCACTGATACTTTTAAAAATCAGTCCTGCTATAAGCAATAAATAGCAAAATAAAATGACCTTCTATATGGCCCTGGACCTACTTCTAGTGAAGATACCGAAAGTAGTGAAATGTCCAAAAGGCAAGCAGCAACATTGAAAGGGAATGAGAAGAAAGGAAAACTTCTAGTGTGCCCAGGATACAGATAATCTGCCCCCGGAGAACCAACTCTTTAGGGGCAGAGCAACTAAAGATAATTTTCTCTTTATTTCACTTTCTGATGCTCTTTAAAAATAAAAGAGGAAAAGTCTTGGGAAAAAAATCAGGGATAGCAGCAGATGCAGAACAGGACTTGGAAAGTATACAGTCAGCGTGAGTAAGAGGGATCCCTGAGCATCTCAGCCACCCTCAGCTGCATCCTGCCCTTAGGAACCAACCGCATCCTAGGAGGCAGGGACCCTGCTGTGTCGGCCTTCTGGGCTTGCGTGCTTATCCATGATAGCAAAGTGGGAAATACCATCAGACTGGCCCACGGGGAGGAGAGCCCCACTGAAGCGACTCTGTTTTGCAGAAGTGATCAGCTGGATGTGGGTGACTACATCAAAGCAGTCAATGGCATCAACCTGGCCAAGTTCCGCCACGATGAGATCATCAGCTTGCTGAAGAATGTCGGGGAAAGAGTGGTTCTGGAGGTGGAGTATGAGCTGCCGCCAGTCTGTAAGTCATCACGGCCAGAGGCAGAACAGCTGCTCCATGCTTTCGCCTCAAACTCTCGGTTCTCATTTTTTTTTTCTCTCTTTTGCCATCATTGTCTTATTACAGGAATGGCAGAGCATACTTTCTTGATATTTAAAAAATTATCAGAATTACTATCACCTACTCTGGAAGAATGTAAAAGAGCATAAATGATGAAATTATCTAGGACTCGGGTTTCATTAAAGCCATCTGTGAACATCAGAGCTGAACTTTAGTGTCAAATAGACAGTCAGTTCCTAGCTCCAGTTTTTACTAGCTGCATGTCTTTGAGAATGTTACTTAAGCTTCTTTTGTTTCACTTTTTTGCACATCTGAAAAATGGGGATGATATTAGTAGCCTGTGATATTACTCATGGATCTGTTATGAGGATTAAATGAGTTAGCATTTGTAAAGCATTCAGGACAGTACCTGGCAAAATAAAAATGTTTGATAAATAATACATATACAAATCAAAACTATAAGGTAGGCATTATTATCATTATTATTCTCATTTTACAGATGCTTAAGTTAAATATGTTTTCCCAAATTAGTAGGCACCGAAGTCAGAGCTTTGCTCTTCTGTACTACTGAGAACTGAGATTGATTATTAATAACTGGTGATAATTCATTTGTTTAGTGATGGCTTATTGAGCATTACTATGTTCCAGCCTGTCCCCCAATGAATGTCAGTAGAATTTACACTCTAGGAGGGACTTCCCTGGTGCTGCAGATGGTAAAGAATCTGCCTCAGTGCAGGAGACCCAGGTTCCATCCCTGGGTTGGGAAGATCCTCTGGAGGAGAAAATGGCAGCCAACTCCAGTATTCTTGCCTGGAGAATTCCATGGACAGAGGAGTCTGGCAAGCCCCAGTCCATGGGATCGCACAGAGTCAAACACGACTGAAGAGACTAACACTACTACTACTGCTAGAGGAAGACAGAAAATAAAATAAAACCACAATAAATAAGTTAATTACAATTGATCCCTGAACAATGAGGGGGTTAGAAGTCCAGTCCTCCTTGCCATTGAAAATCAATGCACAACTTATATTTGACCCTCCATATATATGATTCCTCCAAAACCAAGGTTCTTCCATATCCTAGATTCAACCAACCTGGTATAGTGCAGTACTATAGGATTTACTATTGAAGAAATCCACAGGTACATGGACCCACACGGTTCAAACCATGTTGTTCAAGGATCACCTATATGTAGCATGAATGTTATAGGTCATGAATGCTGTGGGGACAAAAAATAAAGCAAGGAGAAGGGTTGGGAGTGTGGGCTGGGAGTGGGATTGCAATTTTAAGTAGAGTGCTTAGGAACAGTTTCACTGAGAAAGTGACATTAATCAGTGACTTGAAGGAGGTGAGGAAATTAGCTATATGGTTTTCTGAGTTAAAAGAGTTCCACAAAGAAGAAAATGCCAGTGCTAAAATCAGAAGGCAGGAGTAATCTGGCATAGTTCTGGAAACATAAAGAAGGACAGTGTGGCTGGAACAGAGTAAGCATGAAGAGAAGTGGGGGAGGTGGGAAGATGTGTAAAGGATAGACCATCCATGTGGGCCAATGGAGGGACCTTCATTGTTGCTCTGAATGATGCAGGAAAGCGTTGTATGGTTTGGGCAGAGGAGTGACATGATCTGATTAACGTTTTCTAAGGCTCCTCTGGCTGCTGTGTTGAGATGGCAGAGTCAAAGGTAGAAGCTTGGGATACCATTTGGAGGACTATTGCAGTGATCCAGGTGAAGGATGGTGGAAGATATGGTGAAAAGCATTCATATTCCCCATCTATTTTGAAGACAGAATCAACAGGATTTCCTGATGAATTTAATGTGGATTATGCAGAAAGAGGGGGCTTCTCTGGTAGCTCAGCTGGTAAAGAATCTACCTGCAATGCAGGAGACCCTGGTTCAATCCCTGGGCTGGGAAGATCCCCTTTTTTCTTGCCTGGTGAATCTCCATGGACAGAGAAGCCTGGTGGGCTATAGTCCATGGGGTCACAAAGAGTCAGAAATGACTGAACACCTGCAGAAAGAGAAAAGTCAAGGACCATCAGAAGGTTTTAAGCCTGAGCAACTGGAAGGATGGAGGTGCCATTAATAGGGCATAAGAATGTGGGCAGAGCTGTCTTGTGAGGAGAGGATCAGAAGTTCATTGCTGGGAGGGAATTGCCTTGTGGTCCAGTGATTAGGCATCTGTGCTTCCAGCGCAGGGTGCCCAGGTTCCATACCTGACTGGGGAAACTCAGATGGCACAAGTTGTGCGGCATGGCCAAACTAAATAAATAAAATTTAAAAAAAATTTTTAAAGAAGTCCATTGTTTAAAATACTACATCTTAAAAAAAAATAAAATACTACATCTGAGGTGCCTATGTGATGTACTAAGAGAAAATGTCATAAAATGCTGGAGATACAGTTTGGCATTTGTGAGAAAGATCTAGAGTAGAAATGTAAATTTAAGAGTAATGGGACTGGAGATGATGTTTGAGGCTTTGGGATTAGGAGATAGCACTCAGAGAGTGAATGTATAATGCATACCAATCACGAGTTCTTATTCTTAACATAAAATCTAACACTGAAAATCTCATGGTGATTTTATAACAAAATCAATTGGAATCTGAGTACTAAAACTTTGCTATAGCGTTTTTCATTTCAGTAAGAGCCAGCAGTAAAATAGAGTGTTGAGAGCCTGAACTATGTCACTAGTTAAGTGTCAGTTTTGTCCCTTTCTAGCTTTGTGACTTTGGGGAAATTATTAATAATTTCGCTGAGCTATAGGTTTCTCAGCTATAAAATGACTGTAATGGATGTAGAATTTTTGTAAGATTTCAAGGCTGTAATCATGTATTTAGATCACAAGCACAGACTTCATAAGCCATAGTGTCTTAGCCATATTACCATTATTATTGTTGTTATTATTACACTGAAAGTACTGTGTTTTCTTGAACTTAAAGTCCGTTTGTTTTGAAATCACTATCTTAATCCACTGCCTAGGAGTTAAGAGGAGTCAAATATCTAGAGTTAATGCTCTTTGATTAAGCATTTTTATTACAGTGTGTACATGCATATCAATAAACCACAACCTGTTCCTAAGAGGAGCTCTTAGTATTGCTCTCAGGGTAAGGCATTTGTGGAGATTTGCTGAGCATTTTGGGTTGTCCAGAGCTAGGGATTTCACAGTAGATTAGAAGGCATTTATGCAGGTCCAGTAGGAAAACTAACATTCCAGGCATAGGGTATGGCAAGGAAGTATGAAGATAGTCCAGTTCACAGGCTGAATCTCCAGTTTGGAATTACTGGAACACAAAAGGAAGAGAGGGCCTCAGAGGGACGAGGTCAGTGGGGTAAACAGGAACAAAGCCGTGAATGGTGGGCAACAAGGAGCCTTTTTTTAAAGGTTTTTAAGGCCAAGGAGCAGCATCCTCAGATCAGAGTTTTGGTTTTGGTTTTGGTTTATTCTTATGTTTTGGCTATTTCACACAGCACGTGGGACCTTGGTTTACCAACCAGGTATCAAGCCCATGCCGCCAGCAGTGGAAGCATGGAGTCTTAACCACTGGACCACCAGGGAACCCACCCACCCCCACCCCAGATCAGAGTTTTGACTTATTTAAAGAGGCCAAATGGAAGCTATGAACCCCCAGGCTGTTAGAGTTTTCCAAAAGAGAGGTAATACTATGAATAGATACAGCATTAATAGAGTTAAAGAGGAGAGAGTGGACATCAGAAATATCCAGGGGCTAAAACCTCTCCTGACTTTGTGATTATACCTGCCTTTTCTCCCTCACACAATAAAGCCGATGGGAAAAGAGAAAATATTTTTAAACACAAAAGTGTGAAGTTTGTAGTAGAAATCAGATAGCAGAGGTCTATTCGCCAAGGATTATCTCTGTCTCTTTCTATTATGTTTAGATAAATTAATAAGATCTTTGCGTTCAGGGAGATCGAAGGGATTAATAAGCCTCCCTTTCACTGAGCTCAGACACAAGCCAGGCCCCAGGGAGAGAGCTGCCTGCTGAAAGATAGGCCACCCAAGGCCAAGACTGTACTCTCTCAGGAATCACAGCAATCTGAGGCTTAGCCAGCACCATAGCCCAGCAGGAATTGGAGGAAGGTCTGTATGAGGGTATGTGTGTGTGTGTGTGTGTGTGAATGAGAGAAAGGGAGAAAGAGAGAAAGTGATACAGAGAGACGGAGAGCAGATAGAAGAAAAACGGAACTGTGACCCTGGGTAAGCACCTCCCCTTTTCTGATACCCAGTTTCTTAATGACAATGAAATAGTCGATCTCCATGAGCTTAGAGTTCTTTTCGACTCTAGAATTATGTGGTATTTCGAGACTGTATTTAGAGAGAATGTTACCAGAGTGTATCTTGGGCATTTGTATGTTCAAAGTTGGTCTAGAGGCGTCCCTTCAAGTTTTTTGTTCCCATAACCCCTAAAGAATTTTGAAATATTACCTAATTCTTATCCACTTTTTAGTTAACACCTAAAATTCTTTATGATAAGCTTTAGTAGTTAGGCAGCATATAATTTTGGCATGAGGTTTGTTTTATGCATCTTTAAATACCATTTCCATTCAAATCTTAGAGCTCCAGATTTACCTCATCCGTTTTATGAAAAATGTCTGCCATGGAATTTTATTGTCAAAGGCAGTCCTCGCCGCTAAACCATCAGCTAAATCAGACTAGCTTTTTATCAGGAGTCCTTCCATAATTCAAATAAATGTGTTAAAGCATGTCTCTGTGACAGCCTGATTACTTCTCCTGTCTAATTCTCAGAGAGATAGAAAGCCTATAGATGATGACAATGGTGGTGATGATGATGATATGGTTGGGGGGACAGGGGGTCATCCCAGGTCTTCTCCACATGGTTCATTAGGGGATGTAGTCTGAGAGAACATCAGCTATCCAAGGGAAGCTCCTCCAGTGCCAGCTGCAGAAGGAAAACAAGCCTAACATTTGCAGACTCTGCTTGCATCCCCCAACACCCCATTGGCCAAAGCAAGTTAGCTATGCAAAACCAAAGTAATGAGGTAGGAAGATGCACAACTCCTATTCTCCTATAGGTATAGGGGTTGGGGAGGCGGGGGAGTAGTATATAATTTAGAAAAACCAAACCTACCATAATAAAGTATAGTGTCACTTTATGATATAGAAATATATGCATATGCACATATAGAAACAAGGGGCATCAGAACAACTAAAATACTGAGGAGTAGTATTGTTGCATTATAAAATTGGTTCGACCTCAGCCTTTTATGTGCTCAGTTTGATTCTTTGGGTAAGCCCCTTAATTGGATCTCTGCATACACACACACACGTGAAGTTATGAATAGAATTCACATGGCCAAACAAGATGTCTGGTGCTGAATATGAAACCTCAGTCACCAAGAGCCAGTCACACAAATATAAATTATAAAGACCAAATCTATTTCATTAAGTATATTAAAATGTAGTCAGGATTCCCACTTTTCTTTGCACATGATGACGAGCAATAGTGTGGATAATCTAAAGCTATAGATAATCCCCAAAGTCTTTATACTGACTTTAGATTTGATTGTAAGATTTTGTGGTCAGCAAGATTTAGTTTAAGCAAAATTAAAATTACAGTGCTTTGCATCCCCAGAACAGACATCCAGCCAACAAAGACAGGTGGCCCAGAATTAGAATTCAGTTGTATATAATTGAAAGTTGATTTAATGATTAAATTAAATACAATTTGTAAACCACTTTCAGAGTTTCTGGCACACAGAAAACATTCCATAGATGCTCATTAATTATTTCTCCCCGTATCTTTTTCTTAATAAAACAGAAAGATCATGTTCTTAACCAATTTCTTCAAGTGGCTTGTTGGGTCATGGAAATAAGAAAACATTCGGTTTGAACTCAGTTTTTTAAATTTAATTAAAACTGTATCTCAGTTCTTTTGACTATTTGTATGCACTGCTCCTAGCTGATTAGAATAAACTGAAATTCCCCTGATAGCGAGAATATGACATTTAATTAAATCAGCAGTATACCAAAACATTTTGTTCAGCTGTAGATTTATATTGCTTTTTAGCAGATCCAAGTTCTTACTGTACCTTGTGTTCCAGCTGCCTGTGTCCAGTTTTGTGAATTTAACTGTGTGCTGTTCATAATTGTGTCCACCCCTTTAAGGATTCATAATTTATGATAATTAAAAAGTAATTGTAATTAATGCTTAATTAAAATTATTTTTTATTCCTATGAGTGGCAAGAAATGTTCTTTTCAAAGATGCCTTTAAATTGTGTCTACAAGTTTCTTCTTGATAGTGGAGTAGGGAGCCATTCCCTTCTCCAGAGGTTATTCCTGACCCAGGGATCAAACCCAGTTCTCCTGCATTGCAGATGGGCTCTTTATCTTCTGAGCCACCAGGGGAGCTCATAATATAACTTATCTCCTCATACTGTGTATAATGTAATTAGAGATAGCAACTTGGCAATGCAATTTCATTTTGTGAAATGAGAGCAATAACCAGGCAAACATAACCTAAGCATGATGGTATCAAGTAAAATTAAGTAGATCTTTATTTTATAAGTTAGTAGTAATATTTTGAATGTTCTTCAAATTTTTGCTCTCCAAGTTTCATTTGGGTTGTTGATGTCTTTGTTTAATTGCTATGCATCATGTCAGAAAATCAGTTTGCATCAACTTAACCTATTAATGGCAATCTGAGAGTAATACTTTTCTTCTTGTTCTAGCTGCAAAAAAGATAATTATTAGTTACTCAAGAACAGTTATGTTTTACGAGTGTTATCCAGTTGTCATCACCAATTAGAATGATACTCAGATGTGTTCTTTCTATAAAACTTTGTAAGTAATAAAAAAGAAAAAATAAACATAAAACATTCATTATTTTGTAAGTTTTACAAAAATTGTATAACTTTTGCATAATAAAAAGGGAAAACAATTCTATTTATCACATGAAGATTGTCTCTCTTGTTATATAGAGTTTTAGCAATGTGAATATTATGCTCTATAAACTGGCTACACAGGAGGAAAGGAAGTATCTCTGGTTTTGATTCTACCTGGACCTTAATTATAGAAGTCATTTATGCAGACAACTATTTTATGATATTTGTATGTCATTCCAATTTTTTTCTAATGTTTTCTTTAAAAACAGATTTTTTTAACTGTTAATTACTCAATAAGAATTATTTGCAGCAAGAAATCTGTAGTGTTTTATTCCTATCAAAAAAATCTAGAAATGTTATTATGAAATAAGACTTATTTCCCTCTCTTTTTGCTGTTTTCAGCTGTTCAAGGATCGAGTGTTATTTTCCGAACGGTGGAAGTCACGTTACACAAAGAAGGAAATACCTTCGGTTTTGTAATACGAGGTAGGTGGCAGTTAGAAAATAGAACCATCAGATATTCTTGGAGAATTTGTCACTGAACTGTTGGGAGTAAACTAGAAAGTCATGTAAGAAAAACTGATGTTTTCAGCGCCTAAAGTAACCTTATGCCTTCCCTGGTGGCTCAGATGGCAAAGAATCTGCCTGCAATGCAGGAGACCCAGGTTTGATCCCTGGGTCAGGGAGATCCCTTGGAGAAGGAGATGGCAACCCACTCCAGTATTCTTGCCTGGAGAATCCCATGGATAGAGGAGCCTGGTGGGCTATAGTCCATGGGGTCGCAGAGATTCGGACACAACTGAGCCATTAATACACACACACAGTGTTACCTTGTAATTTTGCATCCATTTTTCTTTAAAGGAATAGAGCAATAATTGGGAATCTTTTTTTTTTCTTTTTTTTTTTTTAATAATTGGGAATCTAAATGGAGTCCAAATGATCTAGTTAATTTATTTCAGTTCATTAATACACAGTAAGAAGTCATTGTTTGTAAACCTTGTCAAGTCATAGTTATCCTGATGCTTTGCCAATTGTCAACATGTCTTTTGCATCCCTTATATATTTTTCTATACCATTTATCATTGAGTCAAAAATGTTTGTGAATATTACTTGATTTGATTGAATACACTAGGCTTCAGTAACTTTGTTTAAATTATTTTTTCCTAAAATGCATTTTGTTATTGTAGCTTCCTAAAAAGGAACTGCAGATAATCTAATCCCTTGAGCACCTCAGTACATCAGTCCATCTTATTCTTGAATGATATTAATAATAAATATTTCAGGTGAAATTTTGTCCACAGTTTGTCTACAGGACCATTAATTCTGAGCTACAACGCTGGCTTTTAATGTTTTCTTTTATTATTAGCAATTTCATCCTTAAAGTCTACACATGCATTAACAACTCAGAATTTCTAGTATGACAGTGAGGTTCAATAGGAAACTAGGTTAAGCATCAGGAATTTTTTTTTAATATTTCCTGATTTTTTTTGTTTTTGTTTTTACGTATTGCATTTTGTACTTCACCAGCAGCAAAATTCTGTCAACATTTTTGACATTAATTAAAATTAACTAAGCATCTTAAGAAATAGAAAAGCCTCAAGGGATGAAGGAGATGTATTCATTATACAAACTTGCCTTAGATGACTAAGCTTTAAGCATTAGGTTCAATTCTGTGTCAGTCATGTAGCGAATCAATCAATCAAACATTCATTAAGGACATGTCACCATGTTGGCATAGGGCAGAATACTGTGGAGTCATGAGACAGAACCCTGATCCACAGGGAATTACAGTCCAGTGAATTTTAAGACATAAGTTGATATAATACCCAAATGAGTATTAGAGAAAATAGGCAACTAGGATCCCACTAAGTGATTTAGACCAGTAGTTATTATACTTTACTGACCCAGTCCTACATTAGGTGGAGCCACAAACCCCAAGATCGTTTACCTTAACCATTTTCAAATTTCTATGTAAAAAATTAGATGGAAAAAAAAAATTAGATGAATGTAATGAAAAGTCAGTGTAGAAATAATTTTAGCTTGGAGGGTGGTATATTCAAATCTAGTTTTTCAATATAGTATGAAAGAGAGGTGCACTTGAATCACATGCTTATAAGTCTAATTATTGAAATGCAGTAAAAAATACTGCTGGTGCAGATATTCATCACTAGTTGCTGTCTGGTTAATCAATAACAAATCAAATTGCTAATGAAAGAGCTAAACCAACAGTAATTTATCATTTAAGAACTAAAAAGAGTAGAAGCAATTTCAATCTGCAGTCACCTCAAGACAACTGATGGTATGATGGTAACAGATGTCCTTCCCACCGTTTGCAGAAATTTCAAATATCTGTGTGTTTATGCTTAGTAAGAGTTTTTAAAATATGAGCCTAGACACCTACCTAGTCCATCGTAGGCATTTAATAAATGAAAGAATGGATGAATGATGCCTAGATTTGTGTGGATATCAGACTTCTTGGTATTATAGTAGATATAAAACCTTAGTAATAATGAGCCAATCTTAGTTTATGTCACTCAGTCATGCCCAGCTCTTTGTGGCCCCATGGACTGTAGCCCACCAGGCTCCTTTGTCCATGGAATTCTCCAGGCAAGAATACTGGAGTGCATAGCCATTCTCTTCTCCAGTGATCTTCCCGACCGAGGTATCAAACCTAGGTTCTCCTGCATTGCAGGCAGATTCTTTACTGTCTGAGCCTCTAGGGAAGCCCTTTAGTTTATGAGTACCAGATTTTTGTAGGTTTTAATAGCTCCCTTAGTATGTTGGTTGAACACAAAAATTTGCCAAATTTTGCATAATTTTTAATGAGCATAAATAAAGAACTTATATTTGTAACCAATTTGAGGCCCATCTGGAGGGTCTTCCATGCTCAAAAGGTGGCCAGTACCCATCCCTTAAGAATTATTGGTTAATTGCAAAGAGAGTTGCAGAATGAAAAAGTACTGTGGATAAATGCTGTCATGGCACATAAGATGTTATGGCATAGGTGGGATATGAGCTTAACTTAGATCAATGGGGAATACCGGGACATTTCAGGAAGGAAGGAGAGGAAGATATTGCAGATGAAGCATGTTCATTTAGTGCTAGAGAATTTCTTCTTACTTAGGATGGGTCTTTTAACAGTAAGCCAGGCCTTTAGCTGATGAATTGAATTACCTTTCTCGTGTTGTATGTCATGATTCAAAAACCTTGACTGCATAAACAATAGAACTTTGCACCCATAAAATAAAAAATGATGTTCCAGTCTCAATCATGGAGAGTTAAATTTCTGTTAATTCCTTTGCCACCAAGCAGAAGATGGTTTAGATTAACAGGAAGAAAATCAATGAACTTATTTACAAAACAGAAATAGAGTCCCAGATGTAGAGAACAAACTTATGGCTACAAGGGGATCAAGAAGGAGGAGAGATAAGTTGGGAGATTGGGATTGATATATACACACTGCTATATGAGAAATGGTGTTCAATTGCTCAGTCATGTCTGACTCTTTGCAACCCCATGGACTGCAGCACACCAGAGTTCCCTATCCATCACCATCTCCCAGAGCTTGCTCAAACTCATGTCCATTGAATTGGTGATGCCATCCAACTATCTCATCGTCTGTTGTCCCCTTCTCCTCCTGCTCTCAATCTTTTCCTACATCAGGGTCTTTTCCAATGAGTTGGCTCTGAGCATCAGGTGGCCAAAGTATTGTTACCTATATGTCAAAGTATTAGTTACCTATGTGTAAAATAGGTAACTAATAAGGATTTACTGTCTAGCACAGTAGGGCTTTCCTCGTGGCTTAGAAAGTAAAGAATCTGCCTGCAATGCAGGAGACCCGGGTTTGATCCCTGTATCGGGAGAATCCCTGGGTTGGGAGGATCCCCTGGAGAAGGAAATGGCAACGCACTCCAGTATTCTTGCCATGGAATTCTTGAATTCTGTGGACAGAGGAGCCTGGTGGGCTCCAGTCCATGGGGTCACAAAGAGTCGGAAACTGAGTGACGAACCCTTTGACTTTCACTGTGTAGTGCAGGAAGCTCTACTTAGTACTCTGAAATGACCTATGTGGGAAAAATATATAAAAAAAGAGTGGGTATGTGTATATGTATAATTGATTCACTTTGATGGACAGCAAAAACTAACACAACTTTGCAAATCAATTCTAGTCCAATAAAAAATTTTTAAAATAGATAACATTTTGTGATAAATTAAAAAAACAGGAAGAATCACTCTACTACTAATTTGCTTTTCACTTTGGATGAGGCAATTTCTCTAGTCATTTTCAACTGTAAAAACTGTAGCTTATGTGTACTCATTTAACATATGGAGCCCAAATTCAGATTTGGTCTACATTGTGTCCCTGGCATTGATACTTTTAATAAAGCATGCCAGGTGGTTGATGTTAATGAGCAGCCAAGATCTAAAATACCAGTGGGCTCTGAATGGTCTTTATTTTGCTTTATAGCTCCAAACATTTAGCACCTAAGTGAATCACAAGTTAAACTTGGCTCATTATTTCAAATAATGACAAAATGTCACATATCAAGTAATTTAGAGTTACCTTTCTCACATTTTGACATGTATCTACTGTTAACATACTTGTATTAGAACCTTCAAGTCAAAATAGTGGAATAAGTTTCTTGCTGCCTTCAGCCTTTATCTTTTTCTGAATCAAAACCCTTCAAAGGAAAGTAAACCTATCTTTTTATAATTACCTTGCAAAAAAGAAGTTACATGATGGTATTTATATAAATATGGTTAAGCATGTGCTGTAATTTATTGTCATAATTTTCATTAAAAATTTTCTTCTGAGAAAGTCATGAATTTCCTATTTTGAGTCAGGGGATTCAAAGAAGCCATCAAACTGAATTTAAAAAAAAATACTGAAATGGAGCTTTTACCCATCAATCAGACTGAATAAATCACTTGTAATAGAAATGAACATAAAGGAAACATTTGCTTTCATCAGGAAATGCCTTTTAATTTTTCTCTTAGGCTAGGTTCTTTAAGCAACCTCTCCACCTGTACCAAATATGTGAAATGTCAGTCTGTTCAACCAGGCAAATATTAAAGAAGAAGTTCTTAATGGTAACATTAATATTTATCAAATACTGGCAAACTAGAGACCATCCAGATGGGTGGCCAGGATGGTGATGTATGAGGAAATCAAGTCAGACAGACAATAGTGAAAAAAGTGGAAATGGATAGAAGATGGTTTAAGATGGCAGGGTAAGATGATCCTGAACTCACTTCCTCCCACAAATACAACAAGTATACAGTTACATATAAAACAGTTTACTCTGAGAAGAACTGGAGAAGTAGCTGAATTCCTGCTTCCCCCAAAAGGATAAGAGGGCCATATCCAGACAGAGATTGTCCTTCAGGACTGAGATAGCTGTTTTGCATAATAATAGAAACAAACAGAGAGAGTCAAGCAAAATGAGGAAACAGAAGAAAATGTCCTAAATGAAGGAACAAGGTAAAACTTCAGAAAAAGTGAAATGGAGAGAAGTAATACACCTGATAAAGAGTTCAAAGTAATGGTCATAAAGATTCTCAGCAAACTCAGGAGAAGAATGAAGGACACAGAGAGAACTTCAACAGAGAGAAAGAGCACGTAATAAGGAACCAAACAGAAGTCATAGAGTTGAAGAATACTGAACTGAAAACTACACTGGAGAGATTGAATAGCAAACGAGATGAAACAGAAGAGCAGGTAAGTGACCTGGAGGACAAGATAGTAGAAGTCACTCAAACAGAATAGAAAAAGAAATTTTGAAAAATGAGGATAACTTAAGGAACTTGTGGAACAACATAAAGCATACTAGCATTGACTTTATAGGGGTCCAGAAAGGGAAGAGAGAAAGAGAAAGGGACAAAAAAATTATTTGAAGAAAAGAGTCACTAAAACCTTTTCTAACTGGGGCAAGGTAACAGACATCCAGGTCCAGGAAGCATAGAGAATCTCAAACAAGATGAACCCAAAGACATGAATCAGCCATGGAGTTACATATTGTAAAGTAATTAGCCTCCAACTAATAAAAATAAAAAAAAAAAAAAAAAAAGATGAACCCAAAGAGATTCACACCAAGATCACTGTAAGTAAACTGTCAAAAGTTAAAGAGAGTATCTCAACAACAGAAAGAGAAAGACCACTCATTATATACAAGGGAACTCCCATAAGACTATTAGTTGATTTTTCAGCAGAAAATTTGCAGGCCTGAAGGAAGTAACATATTCAAGGTGCTAAAAGGAAGAAACTTTCAAGAATACTCTATCTGGCAAGGTTAACTGTCAGAATTGAAGGAGAGAGAGTTTCCCAAATAAGCAAAAGCAAAAGTAGTTCATTACCACTAAACAGGCCCTACAAGAAATGTTAAAGGAACATCTGTAAGCTAATTAGAATAAGGCCCTAAATATATGAATATAAAGGCCCTAGATAAGAAAATATATGAAAGAAAAAAATCTCACTGGTAAAGTCAAATATATGGTAAAGGTAGTGGATCAAACACTTACAAAGTGAATATGAAGGTTAAAAGACAGAAGTAGTAAAATTAGCTATAACTACAAAGATTAGTTAAGGGATACACAAAATAAAAGGATGTAAAATGTTACATCAACATACATAAAATGTAGGGGGTGCTAAAAAGGTAGTGCTTTTAGAATGCACTAATACTTATTTTGAACACCCCATTTTCAATGGAGGCCACTTTGGCCATTGGATTTTTTTAATATTTGGATGTTTTTTTCTTTTCCTTTAGTTTTTGCTTCAGTTCACATTGTAGATTCACCTATATTATAGCCCAGGTTGGTTGGCACAAGGTATACCCACCTACACTTTGTTCATCACCAACAGCTGCTCTCACTGGACTAGTATTTGTAATTACTTGATGCTCTTGTCATACTAGCTGGTAAGCATTTTATAGCTCATCCCTGATTAGAGCCACATATTTATTTAGAAGTGGGGAAATGTTGATGTCAACAATATATTCTGTATAAAATGAATAAAATTTTTATTATGTGCCAGAGAGAAAGCATATACGTTCCTTCACACAACAATGAAATGTATTTCAGTTTCTCCACTGGCATTTTGTAAGTGAATTTTTTAATGGCAGCAATAAAGAGTGTTTTTTAAAGCTGTATTCCTTTTCTTTGCTAGGGGGAGCACATGACGATAGAAATAAATCGCGTCCAGTTGTGATAACTTGTGTTCGTCCAGGAGGGCCTGCTGACAGGTAAACTTCTTTCTGTGTCATTATCCAAATGGATTAAATGAACCTGGGGACTTTGGCAGAGAAGTTGATGAATTAAAAATTTCACAGTAACAGATAGATATTAAATAAATATGTTGGAATGTGAAAACAAAAGCATTCAGGCTGAGGAATCAGAAGAAAGTAAGTTTGACCCCAGATTCAACGCTTACCACCCTATGTTTTTGGCGCGTGACTTAACAGTTCTCTGCTCAGTTCCCTCCAAATGTAAAATGTAGAGGATAATGCCTACTTTTCAAGGTTTTTCATTTTATTAAGGATTAGAGATTTATGGTGCATTGCAAAGGGCCTGTCATACTGGAGGCATTTAATAAAAAGCATCTGGCCCTTTTACAGCGGGTCCTTGAGATGTATCTTTTCCAATTGCTAATCTCCTAACCTGGAAAGATAGATGATGAGGTTCTGACTCTTACTATTGTAGACATCCTTGTCATGATTATTATGTCTTGATGATGACTATGAATGTCAGAATAGAAGTGATTTTTAGTAAAAGGGAAGGAATATTGTTGGTGTTAGTGTTTCTTCCTTGCTAATTTGAAGATTTCCTACATAAACCTTTTGGATGGGGAAGTCCCAAATGAACACACAGCTTAGACGTCTCAAGAGATACTTACCTTTGTATTAACTTCCCACAACAAAAATCTGCTCCACAATGGGAGGGAATACAACTCCTGCCACTGGATAAGAGAGGAGAAAAGGAAAATGCACTGATTACCCCCAACTCTGCACAAAATATTTCAGCCTAGAATGGATTTTTTTAAACCTTTCATAAGCACTAGATATAGCAATAATAATAGTAAATACTGCTTGTTGAGTGATTACCATGGGCCAAGAACTGTGCTAAGTACTTAGCAGACATTATCTTATTTTATCCTCACAACCATTCACTCAATGAGGTATTTTTATCCACATCTACAGATGACTAAACGGAGGAACCATATGCTTAAATGACTTGCCAGCTAGGATAAGAATTTAGATTTATTTTCCTTCAAAGCTCATACTCTTAGCTCACTTTTTTTTAAAAACTTGAAGTCTAATATAAAATGAAAATATGTGAAGACTCTTGGGTTCTCCCCTGTGCTAAGGTTATCTGCCTTGGTGGAGGATAATACAAAGTCAAAATTCCCAGGGAAATTTTGTTGTTGTTGTTTTCTTCTCAAGCTTTTTGAATTATTCTTCCTGAGGCAAATAAGAATATTTCCATTTGTTATTAATATTGTGAGTTGGGGTTGGCAGAAATGTCAAGAGCAGCCTCCTAGTTTGTGAACATTTTACTAAATTAATGTAAAACTAAAGGAAACCCTGGTGGCTCAGACGGTCTGCCTGCAATGCAGGAGACCCAAGTTTGACCCCTGGGTCGGAAAGATTCCCCGGAGAAGGAAATGGCAGCCCACTCCAGTGTTCTTGCCTGGAGAATTCCATGGACAGAGGAATGGCTACTGTCCATGGAGTCGTATAGAGTCGGACGTGGTCGAGCAACTAACACATACAAAGGAAACCAAAAATTTGAAGATGAAATTTTAGAGTTAAGTTACATGGAGAGTTGTCTTGGTGAAAGATGTCTAAGACATCATTTTTATTCTTCCCAAAGCCTAAACTTGTAATCCCCGCATTTGATTTTCTCTTCTTTGTTGACTCTCCCTCACCAGAGGGCTATTATCTGGAAGCCTCTCTGGCTGCACTTTAGTGATGTCAGTATTGTGCTGAGGCATCTTCTCCCACTGCCTTGAGTGTCTGTGTCTACAGAAGGGAGAAAAGTATTTGCCTGCCTTTTCCGGGGAATATGAGACTGAATCAATTTAATGATCATCAAATGGTCTTATAAATCAGTAGGAAAATGTAGAGAGTAGGGAAATTTTTCACCAGCGTTCTCTCTCCAGCTTGGGTTCACTGGTGATAAATCGAATGGAATCAGCAGGCTTTTCTGCTCACCAAGCTTTGGGAAAATAGGTGAGTGCTATTTCCTGGGCTTTAATAAATCGATTTTAGACATTTGGGCACACAAAAAAAAAACCTAGAAAAGATATAATGTGCCTTTATTACTCTTGCACCCCAAGAATTCATCGTGGGTGACTTGGTTATTTGCTACTGTGTTGTTATTTTCTTATTACTGATTTTCATATTGCAGCAATTTTCTGTTCAGGGTTCCTTCTATTAATGTCACACTTGATGCTTAAAAGGAAATGCAAATGGAGTGGATGGTAGACTGTGTGTGAAAGAGCCACTTTGGCTAAGTGGCTATTAATGTTAAGCCCCACAATGCTAAAGTAATGACTGTTTCTTTATTCTCCCTTCAGAGAGGGCACAATCAAGCCTGGGGATAGGTTACTCAGTGTGGATGGAATTCGACTTCTTGGAACCACGCATGCGGAGGCCATGAGTATTCTCAAACAGTGTGGGCAAGAAGCGACGCTGCTGATCGAATATGATGTCTCGGTCATGGGTATGTCAGATACTGAGGTTGGGATCTCGAAGTCGACATCATGTCACTGTCCATTGCTGATAAGCCACTTTGGATTAAGAATGAACTGTTATGTCCTCCTGTACCAGACAGAATTTCATCAATGCTATATTAGTCCTCTGTTTGAGTTCAGGAAAAGGTGAGGGTCACTTCTCAGCAATTTAGAGTTCTTGTGTCGATAGAATCTATAAAAGCATCTCATTCTGTCAGCATGTTTCACCTAGCAATCAGCTCTTATACGTAGATTACCCTTTGGCAGGAAAGTATTTTCTCACTCCAGTTCACAAAAACAGTATTATTAACTTAGGGGTTGGTACTTTTGTTTTACTACATGGAGACTAGAGACAGTAAGAGGTTCCTTTCCTTCTTGTAACTTCGCTACGTGAAGCCAGCTAATCAGAATTAATGGAAATTACCATTTTATCATCAGACTTAGGGACAAAGAAAAGAAAGGGGACATATCGTATCCTTGACTAAAATAAGAAGTTGACTACAGTATCCTTTCCTGAAATAATGATTCCAGTAAAAAGTAATTCTATTTCTACCCTCTCAACTATAGTAAAACTGGAGTTATTCTCACATACCTTTTCAATGGGAAAAAAGTGTCAAAGTTTTATGTAATGTTGACTAAGTCAGAGAAATTATGAAATAATGAATTGGAACTTGAAATTGAAACTTAAATCATGCTGTAAATACTTCTTAAAATTTTCAGACTTGATTGTGTGCCTGACTTAACTAGCTAGTTCTATGTTGGTAAAATGTAGCTGAGCAAAAGAGACTTACTCTGTAACTGCAAACTCCTTTATTTCCCACTCTGTGTGATTCATGTATAAGAATGTTGCTTGAAAGTGTTCTCAATCTGTCTACTGGCCTGAAATGTATGAGGTATGAGGCTTCCTAAAAGATGTAAAGTTTGAGAGTTAAAGAGTTAAAGTCTTAGAGTAAGTGGTATGATATGCTCTTGAGATGGAAAGGTCAGGAATGAATGAGCTCTCCTCCCTCTGTTCTTCCTTTCCCTTGCTTTCTCTTCCTTCCTTCTTTTCTTCCTTTTTTTATTTTTATATGTCTTTTGAGTTAGACAGTTTGGGTTCTGTTTTCAATTCTACTGATTTCTAGCTATTAGTTTAAGCATGTTAACGTATTTCCCTGTGCCTTAAATCACCTCCTTTGTCAAATGGAGACTATCAATGCCTATTTTGAAAGGCAGTGAAGAAGATAAAATAAAATTATACAAATAAGATATATTTTAAGTGATGATCCAATGTATTATGAATGTTAAAAATTGAAGCAAATGTTTGACATGTTTAACTCATTCAGTCTACAAATTTTTCTTTTTTTAATACTTAAGCTAAGTGACAAGTACACAGACTATAGACATAAACAGAACAGACCTGGTTTCTGCCTTTATGAAGCTTGAAATTGACGAGCAGGAGAGATAGTAAACAGGTACACGCCAAACACACACTCAGAAAGTGTGATCCCAGCAGACACTAGCCCAACGTTGTAAAGCAATTATCCTTCCTGACTTAACTAGCTAGTTCTATGTTGGTAAAATGTAGCTGAGCAAAAGAGACTTACTCTGTAACTGCAAACTCCTTTATTTCCCACTCTGTGTGATTCATGTATAAGAATGTTGCTTGAAAGTGTTCTCAATCTGTCTACTGGCCTGAAATGTATGAGGTATGAGGCTTCCTAAAAGATGTAAAGTTTGAGAGTTAAAGAGTTAAAGTCTTAGAGTAAGTGGTATGATATGCTCTTGAGATGGAAAGGTCAGGAATGAATGAGCTCTCCTCCCTCTGTTCTTCCTTTCCCTTGCTTTCTCTTCCTTCCTTCTTTTCTTCCTTTTTTTATTTTTATATGTCTTTTGAGTTAGACAGTTTGGGTTCTGTTTTCAATTCTACTGATTTCTAGCTATTAGTTTAAGCATGTTAACGTATTTCCCTGTGCCTTAAATCACCTCCTTTGTCAAATGGAGACTATCAATGCCTATTTTGAAAGGCAGTGAAGAAGATAAAATAAAATTATACAAATAAGATATATTTTAAGTGATGATCCAATGTATTATGAATGTTAAAAATTGAAGCAAATGTTTGACATGTTTAACTCATTCAGTCTACAAATTTTTCTTTTTTTAATATTTAAGCTAAGTGACAAGTACACAGACTATAGACATAAACAGAACAGACCTGGTTTCTGCCTTTATGAAGCTTGAAATTGACGAGCAGGAGAGATAGTAAACAGGTACACGCCAAACACACACTCAGAAAGTGTGATCCCAGCAGACACTAGCCCAACGTTGTAAAGCAATTATCCTCCTGTTTTTAACATTTATTTTCAACTGGAGGATCATGGCTTTCCAATGTTGTGTTGTTCGCTGCTGTACAATGTGGTTCAGCTGTCACTGTGCATCTGTCCCCTCCCTCTCGAGCCTTCCTCCCACGCCAGCCCCATCCCACGCCTTCTGGGTCATCACAGGGCACCACGCTGGGCTCCCTGTGTTACACGTCGGTTTCCCACCAGCTATCTGTTTAACATTTGGTTGTGTATACGTTTCCGTGCCATTCTCTCAACCTGGCCCACCTTCTCCATCCCCTATTGTGTCCACAAGTCCTTTCTCTACATCTGTGTCTCTATTCCTGCCATGCAAATAGGCTGATCAGTACCATTTCCTGGATTCCATATAAATGTAACATACAACATTTGCTTCTTTCTTCCTGACTTCCTTCATTCTGTGTGACAGATTTTTAGATTCATACCCCTCACTTCCCAGGTGGCACCAGTGGTAAAGAACCTTCCTGCGGAGGCAGGAGACAGAAGAAATTCGAGTTCGATCCCTGGGTCAGGAAGACCCCCTGGAGGTGGGCATGGCAACCCACTCCAGTATTCTTGCCTGGAGAATCCTGTGGACAGATGAGCCTGGCAGGCTGTAGTTCACAGGGTTTCAAAGAGTCGAACACAATTGAGGTGACTTAGCATATAAACAAACACAGCAAAAGTTGAAAGTTCCCATTAGATACAAGCGTTGATATGGATACAGATATTCATATATGTAAAACAATACTTAATAAGGACCTGTGTCATAATCTTTTGAGTGGGAAGTTTTAATATCTAAAATATATCATTTCTCTCAAATGCATCCATAAATTCTGTTCAAAATCTCAGAAGGATCTTCGGAGGACTTTTAAGAGCTATTTCTAAAATGTATATGGATTAGGAAAAGTGGAGGGGGGAAAACAGCCAAAATGTTTTTGAAACAATCTAAAAGTAGAGAAACTTGTTGCATCCAACATCAAGACTCATTCTAAAATTGTGCCATTTAGTCTGTGTAATGTTTACATGGGGTAATAAATAAACCAATGGAAGAGTCCAATGCCACAGACCACTACCGAAGTATAGCCTTACTTCAGTGGGGAATGACTGAGCTAGTCAGTCAGTGATACTGGGTCAATTAGTTAGCCACATGGGAAAAAATTCAATTAATTTCTTACTTTATACCATACCCAAAAATAAAGCCTTTATTTACATAACTGTTGCCCAAAAGAATGCTATTATAAATAACTGGAATTAATATTCTTTTACCCAAATCTTTGTATTTTTGACTTCATTAAGTCAAAGGGCATATTTCTTTTTAAAATATTTGATACATAATTCTGATTGTCTTCTATAAAGATTATACTATTTTATATTACTGCCAGCAGTGTTTTAAATGTACCTATCTCAGAGCACCAGATACAGCTTTGAAGAGTATGTTTTTAATTTTTTTAACTTAAGTAAAAAATTGCATTTATATTTTAATTTACTTTTTAAAAATTTTCTAGTGCAAGTAAATGTTTTTTCACATGAACACTAGCCATTTTTGTTTTGCATTGTCTGCTTATGTTCTATATTCCTTTTTTCTATTGGAGGCATTCTTAGTTTTCTTTTTCCTTTTGGAGTTTTTTTTTTTTTAATTGGTTTGTGTAGTTATGTATATATTAAGGATACTGGTTCTTATCAGTGTTTTGTAAAAGTTCTTTTTAGTTGTTTATATGCCCTTTCTGACATATGCAAGTTTCTTTTTTTAAAACTTAGATATAGTATTTTGCTTAGAATTTAAATATTCATTTTTTCTAAAGTTACCTAATATCCCTGAATTATTTAATAAAGATTCCATCACATGTCCACTAATTTTTAAAATCATACCCTAAATTGTTAAATATAACTAGACTCCACATCTGGGCTAGTCAGTCTGATTATATCTCGTTTCACAACGGATTACAGCATAGGACTTTTGAATTGAAAGTCTTAGTATAAGAGTTCTTATTGTCATAAAAAGACATTTTTAGGAGAAAATTATTTATTTGTATAGTACATTTATTATATTATTCTTCTAAGTTTTGCTAACTTTATATAGCAGGTGAGCAAACTTTGATTTTCATTTTTTTTAGTTTCTTTTTAAATTCCTTTTTCTCTTTTCTGTTCACCTGTCTTGCACCTCCTGACTTTCTCTCCCTCATCCTTTTCTCATTCTGTTCCTCTTTCTCTAGCTCCCTTTCTTCCTCCTTCCCTTTCTAGCCTCCCCTTTCCTTTCTTACATTCTGCTGTTTTTCACCTGTCAATACTTTTCACTATTCTAATTGTCTTACTTAAATTTTTTCTGATATTTCTCTACTGTTATTCTCCTTTTTCTCTGTTTTTTCTTTCTTTCTTTTTCTATTTCTGTTTCACTAATTATGTTAGGATGGCATTAGGCATAGATATGGTCAGATAATTAAGAATGACAATTTGTGGAAAGAAGTAAGAATGACCCCTTAGAAAATCAGAATATGAGATACTTTCAGTTAGAATGGCTGTTTGTCAAATACTGACCAGTCTTTCCTTTTATAAAAACAAAAAATTTCCCCTATTTTTACTACACACTTTTTTGTTGCTGTTGTTTGTTTTTGCAGCTTTTGTCATTCTTTCTCCTTAAAAGGAATAAAATGAGTGACTTATACAATGTAGCCTGCTACTTACTCTGAGAGGTCCAATTGGTATTTCTTTCAAACTATCTGGAAGTCAAAGTACCATTAAAAATAGTTTACCACTCTCATTTTTTGTTTTTGAGAAAAAATTCTAGTATTTTTAGGATACTTGAAAAAAAACTGGGAGGCCTGGTGTGCTGCAGTCCATGGGGTCTCAAAGAGTCAGACGTGACTGAGCAACTAAACTGCTGCTTGGTAGGGGAGGATGGAATGTATGTTGAACAGAATGAGTCAAAAAATGGCACTTCCCCAAAGCAGATAATGTTGAGTTGATGAAAGTAATAGATGCCCATTCAAAGACACAGTCAAATGTTAAATATTTTATTCCCACTAACAGCATATGAAAACTTTCATTAATTCACATCCTCACTAACACATGGTATTCTCAGTCTGTTTTATGGTGACTCTTCTGATAGGTATGTAGTGGGATCCCATGGTAAACTGAATGTATGTTTCCTGGATGAATCATGATATGAAGCACCCTTTCATTTGCCACTCAGAGCATTCTTGATGCTTTGATTTTACTTTTAACACTTTCATTTATTTATATACTATTAAAATGATGTCACATTATAACTCAGGAAGCAGGTGTATGTCTATAATCATAAATATAAATATTGATTGTATTTATTTATATGCTACTAAAAATACACAAATTATTTTGCAGGAAACACTTGCATGTATATGTGTGCAGAGATATTGATATATCATCCCTCTGACTCATTGATATTAATCAGATATATTTTTTAGTAAATCTCAGCTCAAAAATTTTAGCATATTCAGTAGTATATTTGGGAAAGCTGTTGAAACTGTCAATTTTATCAACTAAAGTTGAATTTAGTTGGTGATAAAATTTTTCAAGAAAATTTATTGTGATAAGACTGGTAAGACAGGGTCTAGGAGGAAGTAAGAGTTTAGTTTATCTGTTCTTACAACTAATCATCATTAAGTGAGTATGTATAAAATAAAGCAAAATATCAATGTTTATCTTGTAGGTTTAAAATGAAGTTACATCATGATATCATCTTACCTTTCCAAATGACATTATGAATCTTTAAGTCATAAAACCTCTTAACCTACCTGTGGTGTTTTTCTGAGTTCCTGTAAGTCACGACTCTCGACTGTTTCTCTGCTTGGCTTCAAATTTTTCCTTCTATTTCCTTGGACTAAATCAGCATGCAGATCCAAGAATACTGAGAAAAATGTTACTCTTTTCTTAGAAATACCCAACTGTATTACATCTTTGCCCAGCTGTACAGCTAGTCCTTACTTAACATTCATTCCTAAGCAAACATAAAATAGTATTAATGATTTTCAAGTGATTGTTTCATCAGGGATGGATTTGAATGTTATGAGTCTTCAGAAGAGATGATTACTTTTGTTGCAACCAAAAAGTTATATAGGTTTATTGGTGTTACCACATTGAATCTTGGCTGTGCTTTGCATTTCATTTTTCCAGAATATGAAGATCAAGATATATAACTTCCACTAGTCACTTCTCAGTCATAAGTATGAAGAGTAAATTGACCACTATTTGTATTTTCTAGGGGCAAATCAGTTTCTTCCAGATGATCTCAATTTACTAGAAACTGAATTTTTCAAGGGCCTTAAAAGTATTTATGATTCACATGCTTCCTTGTGAGTCCCCAGCATAACCTTCTCCTATTCATAAAAAATATCATAAACAGAAGCCCAGGGAGTGTCCTATATAAAAGAAGTCTAATTTTTAAATAGCAGCAGTAGTTTATTAAGAATGTTACTTTTCTATGATTAAAAGTAGGTTTTCTTATACTTTCTCTATTTTTATCTAAAAAATGAATTTTTGCAGAATCCTCTTATTCCTACTCACCTCACTCACTTTTACGTGTTTGAATTCAGAGCCACTTGTCCTATTTGGGAAATAGAAGAAGTAGGTAAGGAGAAAGTTACCCTAAGCTTTAAAAGCTAGATTTTTTATTTTAAACGAATAGATTTGTTTTTAATTTACTTTCATAGTATAGTAATACACAAATAGAAAAGTGCTAACATTTTACTTGTACAGCTTGCTGAATTTTCACTTATATATTTTCCAACCAGGTCAAGAAATAGAAAAATGCAACCGTCATCACCAGAATCCACACTGTGCCGCCTCTCAATTGCTACCACATCTTTTCTACCAGTTTGACTCCTGTCTTGACTTCCTAAGCCTTAAATGTATTCTCCTAATTTTTGAACTGTCTGTAACAGGAATCATACGGTACATTTCTTGGATATTGGGCTTCTTTTGAAGCAATTTAGATTATCTGATTTGGGTGTAAGAGGCACTCACTGGCAATACCTGAGTAACACTAACCTAAGACTAGGAAACTTCGGCATATCATTCAGAAGTTACTTCTAGAAGTTTCGTGTTACACTTGGTGTGAAGGGGTGAGTAGTGGTGTCAGAGCGGGAGTGACATATGGAATAGTAAGTTAATACTTATCTTTTCCTTAAGGGCCCATTTAGCAATATTTTAGATGATATCTGTGTGATAGAATCAGAAGGGTCTTTTCAGTCTTTTGGGCCATTTGTAAAATGAGGGGACTTAGACTACATCATTTCAAAGGTCTTTCCAGCTCCAATATCCTATGACTCTGAATTTACTAGTGTCTCTTAAAAGATTTCAGAAGTTAACCTTTTTTTATTGATGTAATCAAAATAAAATATTATAAATAAAAATAGTTTAAAATAACATTTAACTCTTGTTTAAACTGAATTAAATTGGCTTTCCTGGTGGCTCAGACAATATAGCGTCTGCCTGCAATGCAGGAGACCCAGATTCTGTCCCCGGGTTGGGAAATCACCTGGAGAAGGAAATGGCAACACACTCCAGTGTTCTTATCTGGAAAATTCCATGGATGGAGGAGCCTGGTAGGCTACAGTCCATGGGGTCGCAAAGAGTCGGACACGACTGAGCCACATCACTTCANTATTTTAAAAGATGAAAAATGAACTGAACCCCATCAGGAAAAGTCTCTCATCGCATGGTAAGTTTCTTTGAAGTCATGTACATGTATTAGGTAGACTAGAATCGCATTTCCTTTTCAGGAGAGTAGCAGACAAGTACTTCAACTGACTGTAGGGCAGTTCTAGGCCATCTTTTTAGAGCACTACCAAAGTACTAGTCAAGATTACTTTTCCCTGTGGTTGGATGCTAATTGTATATTCCTCTTTGTAAAATGAACTCAAACAACCTTTTTTTAAAAGAAATTTTATTGAAGTATGGTTGATTTACAGTGTTGTGTTAGCTTCAGGTATAAAACTGAAACTTTTTTATATATGGTTTATATATACCATATAACTGTATATTCTGTTATATATACATATACATATACACAAACACACACACATATATATGTGTATATATGCATGAGAGTTAAGTCGCTTCAGTCTTGTCCAACTCACTGCAGCCTTATGGACTGCAGCCTGCCAGGCTCCTCTGTCCATGGGATTCTACAGGCAAGAATGCTGGAGTGGGTTGCCATGCCCTCCTCCAGGGAATCTTCCTGAACCAGGGATCAAACCCGCATCTCTTATGTCTCCCACATTGGCAGATGTGTTCTTTACCATTAGTTCCATTTGGGAAGCCTATATATGGGGTTTCTTTGGGATTCACATATACACACTACTATACACAAAATAGATAACCAACAAGGACCTACTATATAGTACAGTGAACTATACTCAATATGTTGTTATAACCTCTAAGAGAAAAAAATCAGTCTTTCACTGGGGAAAATTACCCTTCTTCAGATCTTCCATTAACCATTATAGTCTACAACTATAGGATATAACATCCAAAGAAACAGAGACCATCAATTTCCTTTTTAAGCATGAAACTCTTCTACCTTTGTTCTCAATATTTTAGTTATCTTTATTCAGTGCCTGGTTCATAGTAGAATTATTATTTGAGTTACTACGGTTTTAGAATTATTTGTGGTATACCAGTAGGTATTAACAGGGCTTCCCTTGTAGCTCAGTCGGTAAAGAATCTGCCTGCAGTGCAGGAGACCCAGGTTCGATCCCTGGGTCGGGAAGATCCCCTGGAGAAGGAAATGGTAACCCACCCCAGTATGCTTGCCTGGAAAATCTCACAGACAGAGGAGCCTGGTGGGCTGTGGTCCATGGGGTCACAAAGAGCGCAGTCGGGCATGACTGAGTGACTAACACATAACACACAGTAGGTATTAAAGTGTCAAGTTGACCCCAACAGTCATAATATCAAAGGAATAAGTCACTTGTATATTAGAGTGGTCTCTGTAGTTTTGACACTGAAAATGGCTAGCAGTTGCCCTAGTCCTATCACTCAACATGGTGTGGTTGCTCATGTAATAACACTCACTATTAAGTCCTTCTGCCCCCTGGGTCTTAAATGACAGGCTTCTTAACCACTGCATTATGGTAGAAACCTCCTTGATCTGTCTTCATGAAGTCAGAAGATCAGAGCATTTTGGTAAGGATCCTCTGGTTCACTTTAAGGTGATCGAAGAATTTCTATACTATGCATTCTCAGAAGCAGATTGAGGTCAAACTCTTAATAAAAGTTTCCTTGAGAAAATACCAATACCCAGCATCCTCTTTCTGTAGCATCTAGTTCTCATCACCAGAAGATGTATTGGTAGCAGCAAAATAAGAAAGGAAAAGGAAGGGAAAAAAGAAGGAAAAGCCAGTAGGCTTCTGCCTCATCTCAGTGGGAGCACCATATCCTGGCATTAGTCTCACTTGAAATTACTATGAAATCTAATGGAGTAATTCACAAGAAACACCTAATAATTAACTACTGAACAGACCACACATCCTACAGAATTACTTTATTTTAAAACAAATAAATTGCAGGGGACCATCGCAAAATTTTTCCCTCAACCTCTTTACTTGTCCTGTCTTTAAAAGTACTCTCTTACAACATTGTCATCTATTCCTACAATTACCACCACCATCTCTGTGTGGACATCTCCCCATCCAATAAAATAAAATTCAGTCTTTAGTCTGACACTAAGACTCTACCCAAGCTTTTCCAGACTGACCATTCTAGTTTTGTTTTTTGTTGTATCCCTGGAAATCCACGTGCTTCAGCCTCCTTGGACACTGGATGATTTGCGAGCAGTGTTTTACCACGAATGTGTGTTTCCTCATGACTTTCATCCTACCTGGACACATTATAATATGGTGGTTAAAGGACCCACACTTGAGTCTGGCTGTCAACCTCCTAGAAGTATGACCTTTATAAGTCTCAGTTTTCCCATCAGTTAAGTTGGGATTAGTCATGGTGGCTTCTTCTCATGGTTACAGTGGTCTTTAAAGTTGTTAAGACATTCAGAGTACTTGGCACATTCCTAGAACACATAGAAATTTTAGAACATGCTTCTAATATCGTTGTCTTTATCATTGTTGTATTTATTTATTTACTGTTGCACTGGGTCTATGTTACTGCGCACACATTTTCTTTAGTTGCTACAACTGGCGGCTACTCTTCGTTGAGGTGGGTTCTCTTGCTTCAGAGAAGCACAGGCTTCAGAAAATGTGACTCATGAGCTCTGTAGCTCAGACTCAGTAATTGTGGCGCACAGGCTTAGTTGCTCCACAGCGTGTGAAATCTCCCAGACCAGGGATCAAACTCGTGTCCCTTGCTTTGGCAAGTGAATCCTTATCCCCTGTACCATCAGGGAAGTCCTGTTGTTATTGCTTTTATGTAAGCTTTCTCAGTCTCCTGTTTACAGCCTTTCAGATTTAATTCTGTTTCTTGAAACCAGACCTGGTGAGCCCAGCTGAGAGCAACTCTCTGTCATCTTAACTCCCATAATGTCTTGTCCATACACCTCAGTCCTTACCCATCAGCGTGGCCATCTAGCTATTTGTAGACATGACTGTCCTCCTCTATGAGGTTATAAACTCCATAAGGACAAGGACCATTTCATACCCATACTGTGTCCTCTGCAGTGCCCTATACATAGAAGATACTGTTTATTTCTTGTTGAACTGAATAAATGAATGAACAAACAAATGAAGAATATTTGATGTAGAGATTATCATTCCCCTAAATTAATAATGTTCAAAATAATTTCTTATATATTTAGAGCACTTTTATTTTATAGTGTACTCCACTGCTGTGATCCTATTTTATCCTTCTATTACCTGGAAGGAAACCAAGCTTCCTCTTGTTTTTTTGTGAAAACCTGAAAGGATTATGTTGATCACAGGAGTCTGGCACTTTCTGATTACAAGAATCTGTATGACTTCTATGATAGGTCAGTTCACACAAGGCTAGTGAATTCATTTGCAATTTAATCAAACACATCAAAATGCATTCTTAAAAAACATAAAGGGTTTTTATAGGTTTCATGGTCATCACACATTTAATGTTTAACGTTGAAGGTTATAGTTCCAAAAAATTAGATAAGACCTTTGTCGTTAATGTTTGAACATCTTGGGCACTTTTTGTTCCTTCTCAGTAAACGTACATGAGACTGACCTTAAATAAGTAAGGCCTTTCCCACAGTTCACTCTTCTCTTTTCAGAGCTGTTTTTAAGGGCTTTTCTAGGGTGTATTTTTTTTTCTTTTTTTTTAATTTATTTTTTTATTGAAGGATAATTGCTTTAAAGAATTTTGTTGTTTTCTGTCAAACCTCAACATGAATCAGTCATAGGTATTTCTTTTTCTGACTTACTTCACTCTTATAATAGGCTCTAGTTTCATCCACATCATCAGAACTGACTCAAATCTGTTCTTTTTTATGGCTGACTAATATTCCATTGTGTATATGTACCACAGCTTCTTTATACATTCATCTGTTGATGGACATCTAGGTTGCTTCCATGTTCTAGCTATTGTAAATAGTGCTGCAATGAACAATGGGATACATGTGTCTTTTTCAATTTTGGTTTCCTCAGGGTATATGCCTAGGAGTGGGATTGCTGGTTTTATTCCTAGTTTTTAAAGGAATCTCCATACCGTCTTCCATAGTGGCTGTATCAATTTTTATTCCCACCAACAGTGCAAGAGTGTTCCCTTTTCTCCACACCCTCTCCAGCATTTATTGTTTGTAGACTTTTTGATGATGGCCATTCTAACCGGTGTAAGGTGATATCTCATTGTAGTTTTGATTTGCATTTCTCTAATAATGAGTGATGTTTTCATGTGTTTGTTAGCNGCATTGGCTCAGTAGTTGTGGCACATGGGCTTAGTTGTCTCACAGCATGTGGGATCTTTCTGGACCAGAG